CTACACATAAAGAATACATAAAATTATGCATTGAAAGGCCTTCGACTGAAATACGAATACTTACTGGCACTGGGTATACAGTAAAATTTTTATTGAAAACATGTCTTCAACAAGTACTTGCTGTACAAAAAGAACTTAAAAAATATAAATCAAAATTTATTGAAGCATATCAAAATATAACAAATATGTTAGTAACCTCTCCAGAAACTAAAACTGATATGGTGTTTGTTTATACGGCTATAATAGAACCGCAATATATTAGTGATACAATGGGAAGATGTATGAGAACTATTAATACAACAAATCCATTTATAGATTTCGTAACGCAATTTGACCAAGTTCAGTATTGTAATATTGAAAAAGACAGTTTTGAAAGCATTTCAATTTTGCTATGTGACAAATACGGATATAATTTAAATTTTTCTAGAAGCAACATGCCCACCAAAATTGTATTACACTTCAAAAGATATAAATAAGTCAACAAGCTCATGTTATTTTTTCTTATATGATGAACCGTTCATATTACAAGTATTATTTAGTACAAATTGGTAGGGGTATTGACGACATTGGACCTTTAGTTCACTCAAGTGTGCAATATCAAAGAGGACGAGGACTTGGAAGTTTCTTTGGAGGATTGTTTAAATATTTAAAACCAGTTATATCATCCGGTTTGAATTTAGTAAAAAAAGAATCTTTAGACACCGGCATTAATGCATTATCTGATATTATTTCCGGAGCAAATCCAAAAGAAGTATTGCAAGATAGAGGGAAAGAAGCATTAAAAAATATAAGACGTCGAGTTGTTGAAAACAAATTAAATGAAATGTATGGCAGCGGTATAAGAAGAAGAAGAGCTATAAAAAGAGCTCACTCAACTACATTAACTCATTCAAATCAAAAGAAACGCAAAGCTAAGAGTAAAAAATTAAGAAAAGAAAAAAAATTCCAAAACGAGAAAAACGAGATATATTTAATTAAAATATAAAATGAACGAATGTATGAAATCTTCTTCTTCTGCCTATTCGATTTCGAATGTTGGCGATCTACTTGACTTATGCAATGTTGTTTATTATTCCTTTAAACGTTGTTCTGTCTTTTGCTGATTTCATCAATTCCGTTATATTTCTTAAGCCCGTCCAATTTCTAATATTTCTGAGCCACGATATTTGTTTTCTACCAATTCCTCTTTTTCCATGGATTTTGCCCTGTATTATCAGTTGTAGTTGGTGATACTTCTCATTTCTCATAATATGTCCCAAGTACGCTGTTTTTCGGCGCTTGATGGTTGTAAGTAATTCACGCTTTCTGTTGACTCTTCTCAGCACTTCAACATTGGGCACTTTATCTGTCCAAGGAATTTTCAGAATTCTTCGGTATAACCACATCTCGAAAGCTTCAATTCTATTCATATCATCCACTTTCAGAGTCCATACTTCCATTGCATACAACAACACTGACCATATGTAACATTTTATGAATCTGACTTTCAGTGTTAAATTGAGATCATGGTTGCAAAGCACTTTTTTGTATTTAAAGAACATGGCTCTAGCAACTTCAATCCTGCATCTAATTTCATCTGAAGAGCCCCAATTTTCGTTAAGCCAGCATCCAATATATTTGAACTTGGCCACTCTTTCTAATGTCTTGTTTTCTATAGTAAGATTTGTATTGTTGAATGTGTTTTTCCTACTCACTATCATATATTTTGTTTTGTCGATGTTGATGAGTAGACCGAATTGCTTACTGTGGTGGTTTACTTTATTTATCAACGTTTGCAAACCCTCTAAGCTTCCTGCTATCAAAGTTGTATCATCAGCGTATCTTATGTTGTTAATATTGATACCGTTTACTTTGATACCCTCATCTACATCGTTGAGTGCTTCCTTGAATATGTGCTCTGAATAGATATTAAAAAGTAGTGGTGATAGAATGCAGCCCTGTCTTACGCCTCTAAGAATTTCTACCTCTTTTGTTGTTTCAGTTTCAACTTTGACCTCAGCAGTTTGTTTCCAATATAAGTTTCGGATACAGTTAATTTCTTTTTGATCGATGTCAATGGTTTGCAAGATTTCGATCAATTTATCGTGCTATACCCTGTCAAAGGCCTTTTCAAAGTCTATGAAGCAAATAAATACATCCTTTTGCACATCTTTACAATTTTCTACCAAAACTTTTGTACAAAATAAAGCTTCACGTGTGCCCATTCCTGCTCTGAAACCAAATTGAGACTCTCCCATGGCTGTTTCATATTTATACCCGTACGAACGTATGTTCGAAGGGTATACTAAATTTGCCTTACCGTTTATAACGCTAAGAAATAACGGTGTTAGATATAGACTCAAGTGTATGTTTTTGATCAGCGTCAAATTCTGAGTTGATTTAGCTTTGTCTGTCCGTCCGTCCGTCCGTCCTAACGATAACTCAAAAACTAATTGAGCTAAGTTCACCAAATTTTCACAAATGATTTATTGTAGTAAGTGCCAGAACCCTATTTAAATTGGACATGATCGGGGTACCGGTTCGGGTAGCTGCCATACAACTTCAAAATTTTTTTGGCTATATCCCAGAAACTATAAAAGTTATGGTATTGAAATTTCACACAAACGAATATATTAGTAGGGCCAATGTGCTCCATAAAAATCGTTGAAATTACTTGGCTCCTTCTGGTACCTGCCATACAACTTCAAAAGTTATTTAGCTATATCTCAGAAACTATAAAAGCTGTGATATTGAGATTTCACACAAGTGAGTATATTAGTAGGGCCGATGTGTCTGGTAAAAGTCGTTGAAATTACTTGGCTCCTTCTGGTACCTGCCATACAACTTCAAAAGTTATTTGACTATATTTCAAAAACTATTAAAGCTATGGTATTGAAATTTCACACAAACGAATATATTAGTAGGGCCAATGTGTCTCATAAAAGTCGTTGAAATTACTTGGCTCCTTCTGGTACCTACCATACAACTTCAAAAGTTATTTGGCTATATCTCAGAAACTATAAAAGCTGTGATATTGAGATTTCACACAAGTGAGTATATTAGTAGGGCCGACGTGCTTGATAAAATTCGCTAAAATTTTTTGGCTCTTTCTGGTAGCTGCCATACAACATCAATAGTAGTTTGGCACAAACCAGTATTTTGAATAACACATAGTACTGAAATTTTGCATAAATTAATATGGTAATACGGCAACTTAAAGTCATAGTCTGCCCCATAGTTAGTTATGGCACATTAGTTAATCGCACATAGGATAATAAATTCGTACGGGTATCACAGAGTTGACAAGGTCAACTCTATTTTTTTTCTCATTTTTATATATTCTGTTCTGGATGACTTTAAGAAATATTTTCAGGGTATGGCTCATTAGACTGATAAGCCTGTATTCTGCACACTTTTTCGCGTTGGTTTTCTTTGGCAAGGTGATGAAGGTCGATTTTAGCCAATCATTGGGGTATACTTCTGTGTCATATATTTTATTGAACAACTTTACTAATATTCCCAAGTTTTCTTCATTTATTAGTTTTATTATTTCAGCTGGAACTTCATCAGGGCCCGTAGATTTATTATCTTTGGCCAACTTGATGGCTTGTTCAATTTCCCTTTTCATGATTGGTTGACTTGTTAGATTTTCTATTGTTATATCAGGTAAAATTGATCTGTTGTTGTCTGAAAATAGATTTTTGATGTATTCCTCCCAAACTTGCTTTCTTGCGTCCATTTCATGAACCATCTTGTTTTCGTTGTTCACTAGGAGAAATGGAGTTTTCTTCCTGTAGATACCAGATACCTCTTTTAGTTTTTTATGAAGGTTGAAGTCGTCATGGGCTTGTTGCAGTCTTTCCATTTCATCACACTGCTGGTTGAGCCAGTCTTTCTTGGCATTCCTGATTTTTCTTTGGATGGCTGCATTTAACTGTTTATATTTTTCTGGATTGATATTTCTATACTTTCGTCTCTCTTCCATCAATTCTATTATTTCGCCTGTCATCCAGTTGTTATTTGAGACGTGTTGTTTTACACCCAGCTTTGATTTTGCAACTTGATTCAAAACCATTTTGGTTTCTGTCCAGATGCTGTTTATGTCATCTGTTTCCAAATCAATTTCACTGAGCCTTCGATTGATTTCAACGGATATTATATTATTTGTCGAGTCATCTTTTAATCCAGCTACATTAAGTTTCTGTTTCTGTGGGGTTTTTCAAAAGACCGCTAGCTTTGTTTTAATATTAGCTAGTAAAAGGTTGTGATCTGCCGTCAAATCGGCACCCGGGTAAGTGCAGACCCTCGAAACGAAGGAACTAAATCTTTTGTTAACTATTATGAAATCTATTTGGTTTTGGACAATATATGGTTTACTATCTTGTGGCGACTTCCATGTATATAGCCTTCTTGGGGGTAATCTAAACCACGTGTTGGTGACTTTCATATTGTATTCTTAGCAGAATTGAACCAGTCTGTCTCCTCTTTCGTTTCTTTCACCCAAACCAAAAGGGCCAATGACTCCCTCTACTTTAGTAGAGCCAACCTTGGCGTTAAAGTCACCCAATACGACATTAAGTTCGTGTGGCTTAGTTATTTTCAGCAGTTCATCTATGTTGTTGTAGAATTCTTCAATATCTTCATCACTTTTGTCAGCTGTTGGTGCATATACCTGAATTAAATTGATGTTAACAGGTCTTGCATTGATTTTGAGTAGCATCGCTCTGTCAGACTTAGGAATAAATAGTGAAACACATTTCGCGGCGGTACCTCTTACAATTATACCCACTCCATTCCTATGGTTTTTATTCTGATTACCAGAATAGTAAATTGTTGCATCACCCTTTCGGAACTCTCCAGCACTTGGCCACCACGTTTCACTAATACCGAGTACATCGATGTTCAGCCTCATCATTTCTAACATTGCATTATCAATCTTACCAGCCTCATACAAGCTTTGAACATTCCATGTTCCGATGTTTAATTTTTTAGTTTTACCTCCGGGGATTCTTGATTTCTGTATGAAATCAGAACTAGATTTATTTACAAGTCCACCAATACAAGCAAGCATTCTAAAATCTGAAGAGGTTTCATACAATCCTATTGCTTCTCTGGATAGTCCCTCAACAATAAAATTCGTTTCATTAGGTCATGGTGACACATACAGGGATTTGTCTTCAACATATCTAAAACTGAAAGTTCAATTCTTAAAAAAAGATGGATCACCGCGGCATGATGATAAGGGTACAGATGGAAAAATCCTTCAACAACCCAGTGTAGTGAATAATCTATTACATTCTATAATTAAGCAGTGCAATGTACAACTCAATGGTAAAAATATCACTCCGTCAGATGGAAATTACCATTATAGAGCTTATATTGAATCATTGTTAAATTATGGAACTGATGCTGCAACAACTCATTTGGAATGCGCTGGATGGATTTTAGATAAACCGAATATAGCTAGATCTGACAATAATGGTTCAAAGGAACGTCAAAAACTACATCATAACAGTAATATTGTTGAACTCATGGGAAAACTCCGTGTCGATATGTTTAATCAACCTACGCTTCTAATAAACAATGTTGATATTCGAATTCTATTCACATTAGAAAAACCAGATTTTTTCTTAATTGCGGACGACTCGGAGGAATCGCAACTAAAAATTGTAGAAGCCAATTTATTTATGAGACATGTAACTATAAATCCTAGCGTATTACTAGCCCATAATGCAGTTTTGAAAAAGCAAATGCTAAATATCATTATAAAAGAGTAGAAGTCAAAAATTTCACAATTCCAAGCAACAGCTCATCGATTTCACTAGACAATGTTTTCATTGGTCATTTACCAAACACAATTATCTTTTGCATGACCGAAACGATCAAAAAATCCATACAATTTTAAGCATTTTGATATTTCACAATTCATGCTTAATGTTAATGGTGTTCAAGTACCAAATGCAGCAATAGAAACAAGTTTTTCTGACGATAATAACTGCAGCACAAGAGCTTACCATTATTCTCTGGAACAGGAATTTATCATAACGACAGAGGTCATCAAATAACGAAATCTATATTTACAAATGGTTTCTTTTTATTGGTTTTTGATTTAACCCCAGATGCATCAGGTAATGAAGTATGTCAAGGTTTACTTAATCAAGGAACTGTACGAATTGAGGCAAGATTGTCGAAACCAACTTCATCAACACTTACAGCTCTAGTTTATGGGGAATTTGATGCGAACGTACAAATAGATAAAAATCGGAACGTGTATACAAATCTATAAAAAGCTCAACATTTACTTATTATGAAACAATCAAGTATTATACTCTCCATAGCAAACACGTCTAAACAAGCTTATGCACTCATTGATTCAACATTTTGTTCCGATGATAAAGACTTTGTCTTTGTTAAAAATGTTACGCTAGTAGGATTAAAAGAAAATTGTAAAGTATTCGCTAAAGAAATACAATACAAATTTCCCACAAAAGCCCTTAAAAAAAGTGCTACTGAAGGCTATAAATTTGGAAACATATATAATAACCAAGCAGATAAGGAACTTGCCGCATTAATGGAAAAATTTGATATTATTTTAACGACTGGCCGTATTAACAAGGATTTTCTAAAACACTATTTAAAAGAAAACACAAAAATTTATGATTTTGCTTCTTTTGGAGAAGACAACTAAATAACTCTTATGGATACTCTTCAAATTAAAAATGAATTGTCATGCAATCAGCAAACAAAAAAGTTTTTTAAAATAGTTTTTCCTTTTGATAAGCTTCCTAAACATGTTCAAAAACCCGCAATTATAGTAGTAAATACAGATGTTCATACTAAGCCAGGTAAACATTGGGTATGTATCTTTATACCCACAAATGGTTTTGTCGAGTATTTTGATTCGTATGGTCAAGCGCCTTCCTATAAAGAACTACAACATTTTCTAAGAAGAATTTCAAAGAATTCATATACTGTCTGGAATTACAAAAGATTACAAGGCGACTTTTCAGAAGTTTGTGGACAATATTGCTGCGTATATTTGTGGTACAGATGTAAAGGTCATAGCATGTCAACGTTTTTAGATATATTCAATAGCAACAATCTCAACTTTAATGACAAAACGGTTGTGAAATTGTTTTCAAAAATTTTCAGACGTCAAAGACAAACAAAGAACTATTTACAAATATGCCAGAAACCGATTTCACAACAGCACTAAAGTCTTACGTCAAGAGTATAAATACAAAGCTCTGTGCTTGGAAATAATTATTCAGTTTTAGCGCTTCTGATTCTACAATGCCGTTAAAAATGTCAACAAAAAAAGAAAAGAAAATATTACCGGAAAAAGAAAATTTGTTACTTTCTTACATATATTTTCTAAACACGAAACAAACATGTAAGATAGTTATTGGATTCGACTGCGACACTTTCCAGTCAAAAATAATATTTCATCGAAATGGCAAAAGGTCTGTCCATGTTCTCTATGATGATTGGCACTCATTTTACAAAAAAGCCAAAATGTTGGAATCTGCACGGATCACTAACGAAAATCAGCAACAAAGTGAACCTTTTTGCAACATTTTGGAATTCAATCAACAAGATAAAATTACTTTTGACAAGAAGAGTATTGGAAATTGAACGAAATGTTGGATTTCATACAAGCTGTAATGTCATACAATAACAATGCTAGTGATACTGTTGCAGAATACATTCATAAATACTTTACAAAATGTAAAGAAAAAGGAGTTATTAAACTATCACAGGAAGATTTTTACATACCAAAGCAGTTTTCATCTTATCAATGTAATTATAGCAGACTATTCTATGAGGTGCCAATCTTTATGGCAGAACAAATATTTTGTAACTTATATATTTTGGATTTATGTAATGATTCCAAAACATGTAATATTAATATAATACCAAAATAAAAAAACATTTTTTTAAATCTAATTACATTTGTTTTTATTAAATACATTAAGATATTTATGCAATTTTTACAGCACAACGTTTTTTATGAGTGTCAGATTTCAAATGAATTACACAGAATGATTCATAATTTTTTAATTTATCTAAAGGTGGTATTTCATCATCCAAATTAATAACCTGGGGTCGCAAATATTTTTCCAAAATCGTTTTCTTTCGAAAAACTTCCCATGATTGTAGAAATTTCACTGTAATTAATATTACCGTCACCCCAATTCAAACCGTTGACATGTCTTAGGTTGTATGCGTTTTGCCCCCTTGCTGCTGAATCTAGTTTTTCCTGACGATACGGAGGTTTAAAGTGGTATAATTTTGAGATAATTGAGTTGGTATCAACCGTTGCCATTTCTTTAAGGTAAAGTTCATTATTACTTTCGACTACAAATTGTAGATCTGCTATTAATACATTTTGTGCCATGTTTCTTCGGTACATGTAAAAATAAAAATGAAATTTTATTATTTTAAACTCACGAATTTATATACAAAATTTTTATGTGTACCTACCTTTTTTATATAAAAATCTTCCCCATTAGGTTCTATTTGAAGCGTGTCCATTATTGCGTAGATACACTAGAGGCAGACTTTGCTTTTGTTCTTTTTCGAACAAAATATCATCGTCAAAAACATAATCTTTTTCCTCATCTGAAGGTACTATACTCCAATATTCAATAGGATCATATTCGAAAAGTTCCTCTTGAGGAGATAAATTAGCCTGTACATCAACATTTTTCTTTTCAACTAGATCTGTTTGATCAACACTTGTGCTTTTTCGCTCGGGCTTTGGACATGTTTGTGTACTTTTAGATTCTAACATGCTATATTGCTTGTTAATCGATTCAACAGGTTTTCTTTGCATACCTTTTCGTTTTTTCATACTAAATTTCATCAAGTTTTGACGATATAAATACCATTTTTGATTACCATTTAATTTTTTGTTAAATAAAATTGCTTTTGTATTTCTATCAATATCCGAGAGCTCATTATCGTTTATGATATTTTCTTTTAGCTTATTGTATAAGTCTGGTTGAATAACAATCATGCGTTGTAATGTGTTGTTCATTTTGTATATTTCGAAACAAGTTTTCCCAGTAAGCCCGACAAAACTGTACCGATTAACATTGGTAAGAAACCCCCTTTTTGTATGATAAGTTTACGCTTAGCGTTTATAGATTTTTTTGGGCAAGCTAAATACCGAAGTTGATTTTTATATTTTCTTATTCGTGATAATTTATTTTTGGAAAGTTTAGTATTTCCATTAAGAATGTTCAATGAAATTTCACACAAAGTTTTAATCACATCAGAGTCACAATTTCTTATTAAAATATTTCGAAGTTTTGTTTTAGACTTTTTTAGTGTATGCAGTATATGCTGGTTTGATATCAAACGTTTCATATTTCTCACATAACGTTTTATTTTTTAACTGATCTAGTGTGCAAAAACACACACAACTTTTTGTTTTATTATCAAAAATATCAGTTCTGAATCGAAATAAATCGTTTATACCTTGCGTCAGGTCTAAGGTAATATAGCTATGTGGCTCTGATGTTGTCTCATTATATACTTTTTGAAATTCTTTGATGTTTTCTGGTACTATTTGTCGTGCCAAAGGTAAAATTTGCAATTTATCTCGTGGATTTTTAAATAACACCAAGTATTTTGCATTTAACGATATATCTCTACAGAATTTTCCCTGATGAAAAACATTTTGCGATACCAGCATAATTGATAAGTTGCGATGATGAGATCCTTTAGTAAAAAGTTCACAAACTTTCATAGTGTAGGCATCAATCATTAAATCATCCAAAATAAGTAATGTTGGGATATTGTTATCGTTATTTAAATTTTCAGGAATTTCATTAAAATACTCAATTTGCGTGAAATTTAAGTTTTTTGGCAATGCGTTATTTTCTGGATTACACCACATAATATGTTCTATTTCAGGCTGAATTAAATTCTTCATTTGATTGATTAAATTGCAAATAAATGTTGTTTTTCCTGAGCCAGATGGCCCAGCAATTATCATTGTAAACGGATGATGGAACTGAATCATCATTTAAACATAAACTTTTTGCAACTCTTGATAATAAAATCTTCCGTTTATTTCTTTACCCTTCAAATCGTGCAATACAAATAATGGATGAGGCTCTCTATTTATAACTTTATCTACTATAAAAATTTCCTTTGTCCATTTTTCTGCATATCCGTGCTCAAAAGTTGCTTTTTTCTACGTACGCGCACCAAATCTCCAACGAAAATATCAACGAATAGTTTAGGGTCTTTTTTACAACGTTTTTTAAAATTTTTATAAATTTCTGTAGTGTGTTTTGGTTGAACTTCTGCAGGACGAAATTTTGTAGTACTGTGTACAGAAACATTGTAACTTTTAACCAGTTGTGGTAAAATATCAATGTATATTTTACTTGAACTTTCCGTGAAGAACTTAAACATCTTTTCTTTTAGCGTTCGATTGAATCTTTCAATTACTGCAGCTTTATTTGTTGATGCAATTGTTGGAAATCTTTGATTAATATTATTATGTTTTAAAAAACTTTTAAAGTTTATATTTTTAAATTCTCTACCCTCATCTGATTGAACCGTTTCTGGTTTTCTTTGACTTCCTGATATAATTTTACTAAAAGCTTTTGTAACTTCAGTTCCTGTTTTCCGTTTTAAAGGCACTACCCAAGCAAACCTGGAAAAACTTGGAAAACACATCAATTACTGTTAACAAAAACGTGTAACCATCATTATACTTTTTAAACATTCTTAAATCACATAAATCTATTTCCCACAACTG